GCGTATCAAACAAACGTTCACTCGAGTAAACGCTACACCGAGTTTCGCTTCAAACCGTTGTTTCAGCACCCGCGTCAACGCCCGTATCAACCGCGTCAACGCCGTGCGCACCACTGCTGCTTCGCGTCTCATCAGGGTTCCTTTTGGGGAGATGGTCCATAGTTTTTTTTCACTGGACGTAGAAGAATGTCAACGCACCAGGAGTGACCACGACGAAGAACGATCAGCTGCTAACTCACGAGGGGCGAGTAGCACTTCACGTACCCTCGTGCGTTAACGTTTTGTCACGCTCATAAGTAACTTTCATTGTATATAATGTGTAATATAGTTCAGCGATGTCAAAGTAAAATATTAGTTTTCTTGTCTCTCACATATGACCCAGATATTGTGGATTATGGAGCGTGGCATACCGCAACACACTCGAGCCTGACCAGCGAAGCGAAATGTTTACAGCGATAAAACGTGCAGTTACGACTACAATCCACGCCTCTCTGCCGACTTGTTCTGTACTTCACCGGTACCTTTCCAATGGCATTGTTCGATGAATTTTCACAATTTCGACGTTCTGCAAATCATACGTGTGTATTATTTTCGATATTGATGTTTCCATCGCACGGATGGAGCCTTCAACACCTAAATGCAGTGAATCACGCATGGCTTGGAGTCTGAGCATGGCTGTGACACAAGCGCTACTTAATGGGATGTTAATCGCTTGTGTTCAATGAAGAAGCAATTACATGTTCCTGACAGCGCAAGTAAGTATGACGGCGCAAATCATCGCCTCGTCAAGCATTCGATGTTGTGCAGCTATGATGGCGATACTCGCTAGCGGCATACTGCAGTGACAAATCCATCACGCAGGCTCGGTACATACTACCCCATGGTAGAATGTTTCCTCTCAGTAAATTGAAGCAGATACATGATAAGTAATAATATTCAGTTGTTTCGTCTTTTTTACAAAACAAGCAAAGAGGGAAAGGAGTCAAGTCGGCTCTGTGCGTATAACAGTTCAATTTCGGAACGCGACAGCGTAACTTTATGAAAGTCACTATACCGCTTTTCGTGTTGAACAAAGTCCTACGCCAAGGAAACAAGAGGTGCCAATACTCGTATAGGTGAGTCATCAATGACTTCACAGTGCAAAGTTTCTCCTCGCGTTTTCAATCTGTCACGAATCATGAGGGCTGTTAGCATAATTGAGAATATCGGTCCACTGAGGGGGCCTATCGACCGAGCGTCCACTGTTTCGTTCTTTTCGTTCATTTTTGTCCCTTTGTAGCCCGGTACTCCGATTAATCTAATTAGAGTTATGTTGATAGGGAACAGAAACTTACAACTTTGTGATAATTGAAAATATTAATAATAACATATAAGGTTTGACGTCCGAAAGCCACGTGATAATTGAGAACCGCTATTTTTAGCGAGTGCCTTAACAAATAAAGTATCTCTAACTGCAGACACTCTTGAGGTTGATGGGCTGAGCTTCCTAATGCCATTCCACCGAAGAAACTGATAAACAATTGCAAAGTGCTAATGAGAATGAACACTTGAAATTCTCGGAAACAATGCCGATGCCGGATTTTTCTCCAGAATGTGACGCGTCTGTAGCTATATTATAATTTTTTTATATTTATCTGCTCAAAACGTTTCTGCAGAAGCTAGTTTATTATATAGTTAGGTGAAATTTTGGGATGATTCGGATAAATATTGTGAAAAAGGTTTCTTTAATTACCAATGCGAGAAACTTCTGCAGTTCAACATGTAATGGTACAACAAGTGATTCTACGAAGCCCAGCCACGCTGTATTAAAACGAGGTCAATAAGATAGAAAAGCAACTCTGGCTGATGTATGCATGAAAATAAGTTTAGTTTCATAGAATCCTCATAATTTTTTAGGAATGATTGCACAGTTAGTATCCTAAATCTGCATAAAAGAGAAGGCAACCTCACTTCTAAGTAGATGTTATTATTGGCTATTAGTTTAGGTGATCCAAGGAATGAATTTGGGCCTCCCTTTCTAAGAGTACGAGAGGACGCAATATATAAGCCAGTGCATCAGAATAGAAAACAGATCCAAATTTTGTTGCGGGGTTAAAGCGCTGGTGTCCAGAAAAGCTGCATGTATGTAGATTTTGCAAAGCATAATTAGTGTATCTCTCCGTATTCCTGATCAACTGCTGCATATCCTTCGTAGGACTCCCGGTTCCCGACCTCCTTTCTTGGTTGTATGCCAAAGGAGGTGGTTATCATAAGATATTCGCAGATATTTTACCGAGTCCAGCTGCGGTATTTTCCACAGATTGCAAGTTACTCTAAAGGTAACTGCGTTATTCAAAGGTAAAACTATATTTGCGCTCTTTGAAACATTAAGACATAAATAGCCTGCTACTAATTTTTAATGGCTCACTTGTACGTTTGTAGCGAATTATAGCGAATGTACATCACTGTCTGAAGCGACAAATACTCTATCATCTGCATATACATATATGTATAATTATTCATAACAGGTAATAGTGCTTAGCAATATATTAAAAATAAGCAGCGAGGTGACTGGTTTCCCAGGAACTCCTCGTACCTGAAATGTATATTTGAAGAATGACACCTTCAGTAAACATTAAAACTCCCTCCTCAATTAAACTTCCTAAACCACCTGATCATATAATTAGAGGCATCAGAAAACTTCAATCTAACCATTATTAATTCATGTTCTACTCTGTCATAAATAAGCTTTTGACTAAGGAGATTATTGTTGCCTTCTGTATTTTTTTTTTTTTGCTCGCGCGGGTAGCGACTATAGCGTGCAGAGTACGCGGACCCGACAGCGTTGACAGGCGGACACGGCCACGCTTGATCGCAAGTTTTATTACGACAAAGTCGAAGGTGCTGTCGCATGGTAACTTTTAATAGCTGTGTGGCTAACCTCCGAACCAAACTCGATTCGTACCGGCATTGATCGCGAGAAAAAATGTAGATGTGACATTGAGATCATAGTGTGGTGCGAGGGCAAGCCTAACTGCGTGCGTGAGTTTGAGCTACAGCCACTTCGACGGCGCCAAGCTGGAGGTGGCAGCCGTATTTCGACAAAAGCTAAACGAAAACAAAATACATTTCTTTAACTCTGTTTTCATACTCTCATTTTTAGCGTTCTCAAAGTTACCCAATTTTACTTTGACGTAACGAAGGAGCAAGCGAGGCTCACCTAAGTAGCGCACACACAAAAGAATTGATTAATATACAACCGCAATGTTCTGTTTGTACCAAAGCATAATGCTGGACGCTTGGTTAACACGAAACCCTGAAAGCAGCGTGCTTTTCTAATACCCCCAGCGACACGGCAGCGCAGAAACTAATAACAAACAAACCAAAAAAACACGTTGCTTTTTATACCCGAAGGGTGCGTCTACGACGGCCAGACATACGTGCATAATTACTGCGGGTTGTCTGGCACGGTATGCCCAGAAAAACTCAATTCACCGCCAGTCGTCGCCGCTGAGATAACGCCGGCACACCACGCTCTGTTATTTGCGCACTGAGGTGAAGCGAACGCCTCAGGGTGCACGTGCACCTCTTCTTTTGAATATATTTTATTTAGTGTACGTCACTGCATACGTCATGACGGGTCTTTTGAAATATTTAAGGTCGATACGCCACTTGATATCGTTCACGCGAACTAAAGCACTCGTGTGCAGAAAAGCTGGATATGTCTCGATTAAACTGCCACAATTGTTTCTGTAACGCACGCTTAAATCGAAGAATTTTCACATTTTAGATGGCGATTGCCACCTCCAGGAGTGCGATCGTGATTTCGTGCTCTGCAGTGCAAAGGAATAGCTATTGGGCTGCAACGGTGGATCATCGGTTCGTTATCGAATAATGCACCTCACGAAAGCGAACTATTCATTGTCGCCTTCGTGACGAAGACGTCAACCCTCACACAGGTACGTCTTGACTTCTACTTCAGCTTTTTTCTGACAACATAATCGCGCTCCAGAAACCGAACACCTACAGAAAATTGCCATCGTACGTAGCATGCCTTCGCATGTAGTATTTCATTCAATAGAAAATTAGATTAGTCACATACACTGGCACTGACAGCGGTGAACTGAGCGTCAGCCATCGATCAACTGACAAGCGGTGAAGCGCGTCGGCATTTATTCATGTGCCGTCGAATATTCCTGCGTTATGGCTAGTGACCACGTAAGTCCTAGAATAATCTCTTATATTCACGTTGCTCACGCAATTTTTTCTAAACAAGTTAATCTACTAAAGCCCCGAAGCTTCTAGAACACTGCAGGCGTGCTTTGCACTCAACATTACTTAGTGTAATGGGGCGACAACAAATCTTGTGGAAGGAATGTGGAAATATGAGGTTGTTTCGTATTATATCAATCATGCCGTTGAGTGCAACAGACATTTGGCAGCGTCATACAAAGGCGCCACCTCATTGCCAACTTTTGCCATATATTCGCGTTACCAGCACAAGTCAATGCATACACAAAGTATTTGCAGGAGGTGGCGGACTCAAGTTACAAATTCTGCTCCCCCCTCCCTCCCTCCCTCCCTCCCCTCTCTCAGCCATCTCTCTCTCCTACTCCCTCTCTCTCTCTCTCTCACACACACACACACACACACACACACACACACACACACACACACACACACACACACACACACACACCACAGTGCCGGGATTTGCTGTGCGTGGAGGGGATGCGTAGGTCGCGTAGTTCACTGCTCATAACATGGTAACATTCGGGCTGGAACAACGCGTTGTCGAATTTCTTTCGCTCTATTGCACACCGCTTCGGTCATCTGCTGGCAAGAACCGCGGCTCGTCACGATGGCCAAGTATATGTGGAATGCCGAGTAGTCCTCTGATGAAGCGCGATAAAGAATCTCATTAAAACAATAACGCCACATTGTACTGTGGTCCATATGGCCAAATAATTGATATGCGTTAATCATTAGGTACACCACCAACAACGAAAGAGTTTTCTTACCAGGCAGACGTAACCATGCGGATCGCTGCATTCTGTTTGCTGCGTGAACGCTGTGGTAATCACGCAACCGAGAGGAATATTCTGCAAAAAAAAAAAAAAAAAAAGGTATGCGTGAGATGATTAGGATTTAAGGTCTGATAATTTTTTGATAACGAGGGCTTTATGTTACTTTCAACAAACGGTAAAAAGCAAGAATGACAGACTCGGTGAACGAAGCTGATCAAGAGAAATATTGAGCATAATGTTAGCGACCTTCAGAATAAAAGCAATAGATTACTGCAGTGCGCATAGTACACCACTGAAGCGCCTGTAAATTTGATTTCAAGGCACCTTTACTACCCATCTTCTTATACTTTATACACATTGTCAGTGTGTAAAGAAAAAAAAACGCAGTGCTTTTGTCCTTATTTGGTGGACCAAGTTACTGGGAGCGAAACGTCGAAAGGCATCATTACTGCTCGTTGGCTGCGTGGTATTCTGCACTTCGTAAAAAGAAAAACAGGCGCACTGAGGTGTCCGATCATCACTGTCTTTTCCCCATTGTTTCGACGGCGTCCACCACGTATCGCCCATAGTAGAGTGTAAAGTTCACAGCTTGCCTTCCTTTTCCAGCTTATATTGCTCGCGATATATTGCGTGTTGCCACCTGTAGGTAGTTGAGATGCGCAGTCCAAGACATTCGATGTAATATTACAAAGCCTGTGTTGGTTCGAGGTGATGTAGGTGGTATGGTCTAGCAAGCATGTAGCACTTTAATAACAAAGGCATTCAAGAACAGTTTGGTGCCTATGTACATATATATATATATATATATATATATATATATATATATATATATATATATATACATATATATATATATATAATTGTTTATTGAAAGAATTCGGCATAAGTGAGTAGCGGATGAGTCGAGGACTAGATGCAGCCCCAGGTGCTCGCTGATGAGCAGTGTTCCACTGCTCCCTTTCGGAAATTTCGCCGGCTATTCACCGCGAGTAAATTTCGGTTGCCCTGTTCTCGTAAATCCCATGTTGTGTGGGCGCGAGTGGGCCTCCCTCCGCACCACGATCAGCTCTCGTTGTATACATTGTTGGGTAATTGGCGTGGTTCAAAGAAAGGGTCGGACATGTGTGTTTATATACGGCACCAGTCATACAAGTCCCGCTGAGATAGACCAGAGTGTGGTGCACTGTACTTTCGTCGCTCAAGCCGTTGGTGCTAAAGAATATCTCACGGTAAGAAAGGGCTGTCGTCGGAGTGGTCGGCCAATCAGTTGATAAAAGCATGGGCTACGCCGCGTCCGCTCTCCCATTGTCATCGAGTTCTGCATGACTCGGGCACCAGTTGATCGCAAGGTAGTGACAGTGACCGTGGTAGTGCATTATAGGTTGGGTACTAATAGGCGAATGATGTGTGATAGTCTTCTGGTGACAAAGAGTCCACTTGGAACCTTGGAATCTGTTATAAGTCATGATTGCCCCAAGATATCCTCAGTTTTATTAGCAAGGGTGACTGCTCAAGCTTCAGCGTTATTGGCGGATGCGGCTCAAGTTGTGGCGCAAGTCAGAAGGTCTTGACACGCGGCCGCTCCTATGACTGCAAGGGCGTAATTGTTCATACTACATCAGGCGGCATCTGTGTACACGGTGACCCGATTGCTCCCGAATATTGCCGTTAAAACAGGCAAGCTCGAGCACTTCTACAACGTTTGTGATACTCTGGAGTTATGCTTTTGGGGATTGAGGTTGCTATAATCCTTTTGTATAGCTGTTTTGCTATGGACTCCAGTTCTCCCGCATACTGAGGAGAAGCTGGGCGATTTCCGCGGTATAGCAGTTTTCTCGCACAGTGGTTAAACTAAGCCTTTCCTGTTGAGAAATGACTGCGGCTGCGCCTAACTTGACCCTCGTAATTGTATTGCTTACCGAGGGCTTTAGATGTTTAGTGGGGTTTCCAAGTGGTAGGCCAAGAGCCGCTTTGTACGATGTTCGGATCAACGCCTAAAGGCTTTTCGATCGGTTTTATGCCCTGGAAGAGAGTGTGCATGTATGCCTGCTGAGCACAAAAGTGTAAACAAGCCGGAGCGTCTCAGCTTTGTTGAAACCTTTTCGGTGATAGGTGACTATCATACGGGAGACCAGCTTCCCCAGTTTTTGAGGGTTTTTATTGTGGGGTCCACTCGCTTGTTGCTTTGTAGCCAGAGTCCGAGGACTCGCATTTTCTGGACCTCTTATCTGGTGTCATCCTGAAATATGTCGAGCAATTTGGGACATCGACTAGTGCGGCTAAGCCGTCCCAAGAGGAAGCGCTGGGCGTAACGCTGTGGAGAGCGTTCTTCAAAAAATGATTACTAAGCAATCCCCGATTTTTCGGTAGTTGCACTTCAGGAACTTAATGCTGACAACGCCCTTATGCTGTACAATGCGATTCGTATAATTGTCTGGATGCATTTTTTTCCGAGACATTTTTGTGCATCTATTGAAAATGTATGGGGTGCTTATTGAAAACCTAGTTGTATCGCAGCGATAAGTTATTTGCTAATAGCACCCTAGTGGCATGTAAGTAGGACAATATATTTTTGTGCTTGCAATTTGGTGACATTACACTGGCTGGATTTTTTCCTGAGGAGCTTTTCCAAATTTATGGGTAAAACGCATGCATGGTAAAATACATATATGGGTAAAAGAATCACCTGTCGGTAAATCGATGAGAACGTCAACGTTGATCCCGATAAAACCTCTTCAAAAGTTTGCAGATGTGATGTACATTATGTCGATAAAGTATCAGGAATTTATTTACTGTAATAAATATTTATCAGTAATGTAACCATTTAATTTAAACATTTGGGGAAAGCTCTCAATGTAGAAGCACATATGTAGTACAGGACAGATAGTGCTATGTGAGCAGTTACGATAAGGTGGTAGAAAACAATTTCGTATCTTTCGTTTGTACTGTTTATTGTTCTCAATATTGCGGAGTTCAATTTCATTACCATCAATTATTTATATGCTATGTATGTGTAGAGTGATTTAATACGAAAAGTGTCCGAGATGGCATATAGGTTTGAAGGTATTAAAGCCAGTCCGAAATTGCGGCGGTTTGACATGACTGCATGAAGAATATAAATGTCAGGTCATAGCATGAAATTTGTCACACGTACATCATTAATGGTATTATCTACATTGATTGATTGATATGTGGGGTTTAACGTCCCAAAACCACTATATGATTATGAGAGACGCCGTAGTGGAGGGCTCCGGAAATTTAGACCACCTGGGGTTCTTTAACGTGCACCCAAATCTGAGCACACGGGCCTACAACATTTCCGCCTCCATCGGAAATGCAGCCGCCGCAGCCGGGATTCGAACCCGCGCCCTGCGGGTCAGCAGCCGAGTACCTTAGCCACTAGACCACCGCGGTGGGGCTGGTATTATCTACATGCCACCTTATTACCGCTCTCGCGGCGGTGTTCAAGGTATATCAAAAATAGTAAGGCGTGTCAAGAGTATGACTAACATAAATACTAGGTATTAACAATTATGACAATTCCTTTTACGACATGACTTACTTGCCACCCTCATTGTGCGCTGTGGCCGTTTCATTCATTGGGTATATACTACTATTGGTGTTATGCAATGTTATTGCGTGGCAAATTTAGATGACAAGTATTAACGTAAAAATAATCACATGTGTATGACATTAATGAAACGATGGCACGTATGTCATGTATAATGTGATTTCGACGCCACGCTCATGCCGCGCTTGTGGCCAATTCGTTCACTGAATGCATACCAAATTTCATCTTGTTTGACATGTTTGATAAGCATAACTAACGGGTCTTTACATGTAAATTACCACGTGAATGTCATGTACAGCATGACTTACATGCCCACTCATAGTGCGTTTCCGGCCGTCTCATGCACTAGTTCTATACTTGATATGTGGGGTTAACGTCCCAAAACCACCATATTATATGAGAGACGTAGTTGAGGGCTCCGGAAATTTTAACCACTTGAAGTTCTTTAACGTGCACCCAAATCTGAGCACACAGGCCTACAGCATTTTCGCCTCCATCGTAAATGCAGCAACCGCTGCCGGGATTCCATCGCGCGACCTGCGGGTCAGCAGCCGAGTACCTCAGCCACTAGACTACCGCTGTGGGGCCTTTACTAAGACTGGTATTACGCAATGTCACTGTGTTACAAACACAAACGACCACTATTACCGTAAAAATCATGATATGTCTGCCGTCAACGGCCCTCCAGAGGGCCCGTGAAAGAGCGGAGAGGCTTGGCCTCCCGATTCCTACATGTGAGCAGCCAGCCGAGGGCCCCAGCGGGTCCTTTCCGACTAGTCCCTTAGGACCTCATTAAAGCTCTCCGTTCGTCGGTCCGCCCGTCCGTCCATTCGTCTGTCCATCCGTCCGTTCGTTTGTCCATCCCTGTCTGTCGGTACGTCTCCGTTTGTCCGTCTCCGTCCGTCCGTCTCAGTTTGTCCGTCTCCGTCCGTCCGTCTCCGTCCGTCCGTCTCGGTTTGTCCGTCTCGGTTTGTCCGTCTCGGTTTGTCTGGCTGTCTGTGCGCCGTGTATGACAATCACATGCCACGTTCATGCAACACTCACGACCACTTTGTCCACTGAATACTGCCACATTCCCTCCTCCGGTTTTCTTATCGCCCCGTTTTATTGTCAGCATTTCTCAGCGCCCACCGCGCCTGCAGTGTTCGAGAAGCTTTGAGACTGCCGTATATCATTTTGTTAAGATTACGCCACTTCGCGAACAGTGCAGATTATTCTGGAATATTAGTCGCCTCTAGTGATAACGCTAGAATATTCGATGGCGAGTGCATAAATGCCGACACGCTTCACCGCTTGTCAGATCATCGACGGCCGACGTCCTGCTAGCCGTTATCAGTGACAGTGTCTTGCTGTAGTCTCACTTTCACGTGGCCACAAGTACGGCCCGAAATAAACAGTTTATTATTAGACCTGCTGTCTGCTCCCTTCGTCCACGTCCGGACCCCATGACAGAATATTCCAAAGCCGATATGGCGTGACATTACTGTATGACGAATATACACAA